CGTGAAAGGAGAGGAAGAGTCGGCGGCGGAAGGCGGCAAAGGCAAGAATATGCCAGCAGTTGCGTGAAAAGAGAGGAAGAGTGGGGGGGGGGGGGGGGGGGGGGGGGGGAAAAGGGGGGGGGGGGGTGGTTTCTATGTTGGTGGATGGATCAAATTCACTCATGGTTTAATTCCATACTTTTAACTACATTTTACTCCAAATTTCAGTGCAGGGATAAATTTGATAACTCTGCAAAGTGATTTCTGAATTCATTATTTTGTATAACAAGTAGAATTGCATTTACATCTTGCTTTGAAATTAATATAGTCTATGACTATGAAGATCAGGTAACATACAGTATCATGTTTTTACTTATGCTAAACTATCAAGAGTAAGTGCTTTGAGGCAAAAAGTGCATGTTTGCCATTTACTGCATGTTTGTACATATCCTAACATAATGAGGCTTCCAATTGTTCAGCACACCTACACACCACCTCAATATAAAAGTGAACAATACTGATGTTCTACGGCCTCAAAGGATCTGGACAAGACTGTATTATACAAAGCCTGTAAAGAACACTAGCATGACTGACTGAGCTTATAGAAGGGAAAGTGCATCCTTTCTGCCATCAAATCGGTGGCAAGCATTGACTATTAGCTGGCTGAAGCTGATCACTTATATCTAATCTGTAAAGAGAATGTGAACACCCAGGAGAAGTATCTGTAGGTTACCTGAAGTGTCTCAGGATTCTTATATAAGTAATAAAACGTCACAGCTCATAAAGGGCTTTTCAGAAGTAAAGCATACGGCAGGTGGAATGAACCCATTCACCTTACAGCTTGTTCACATACAGAACGTGTTTTTGCACTAACGCTCCCTAATAAAGGCTTTCAGTATCCTCTTTCCATAAGCTGAGCCTCCTTCACTGTGTGCAGTTGATTCCAAAGGCACACCCACATCAGCTGAACTGGCTTCTGTACCGTAAAAACAACCACAGACTGCAATAGTCTGCAAGACATCCATACCTGCAAGACGGTATGAAAGGCTGGTCCAGTGCAGCATTAAGGCATATTTAGGCTGTAACCAGAAGGTAAATAGATCAGCTTTCTAACCAATAAAAAGAAAAAAGGTTTATCTACACCAGGTGCATGACTGAAAGTCCAAAGTCCAGTAGCTCTAAGAGCCCTCATTGCGCAGATAAGAAACACTTTCTGGTAAGAGACAGAATATGCTTAGAATCAAGTCCAGAATGACTTGAAAACACTCACTTCCTTGATGATTAAGCAAAACTAATTTACTTACTGCTTACCACAAATAAATAAAAACCATGTTTGAGACAGCTATGGACTTGATTTAAAAGGACTTTCTAAGAAGCTTTTAGGAGACAAAGGCTCAATCCTTTAGGCTTCCTTAGAAATCCTAGTTAAAACGAGCTTCATAGACATCAAGTAGGTAATGGGAGGTAAAATGGACTCTTTGCACGATGTGAGAACCGCAGCTAGATGAAAAGATATAGTCCTCTACAAAAAGACCTAGCAAAAAGTACCTTCCATGCTAACCGGGCTTCGCAAAACATTTACAACCTGCAATGAATTTTCCTTTCTTTTTTCTGTTTTGTTCCTTGTTCCTTTCATTCTGCAAGAAGATTAGGACAAGTTCTGAAACAGTGTATGACTGTGTTTTTCACCTGTACTGAAATGAGAGTATGATATGTCTGATCTTCCTTGCCTTACTTACCATCTGACATGCACTCAGTCCTTTCAGTCACATAGTAGCTCAGTTCCAATGTCTGCTCCAGGACAGATGGTCCTCTGGTATTATCATTTACATCCTTTATGCACTAGAATCCTAAAAAATAAGTAAAAAAATCTAAGCTTTAACACTATCAGATGTCCAAGAATCATTCAGGGCCTTTACACACAGTTTTTCTTGAAAAGAAATTCAAAAGACCATGATGTGATGTTCATCCACAACGGAAGTATCAAACCACTGATCTGTGGGGTGGGGGGAAGCATGGAAAGGAGATGAAGCATATTCCTGTGTTGTTATCGATCCACTTGCTTTTGCTTATTGCCTGCATACAGGAACTGGGATCTACCTGAAGCCTTCTAGGTGTTCAAAGGGTATGTACCATAGTCTTTTAGTATTTAAGGAAAAGGGGGCGATCCATAAGCTAAGCTCCCTTAGGAGCCATCTGCTCCATATGGAAAAAGCCTTCAGCTGAAAATATAATGGCCAATTTCACTAAAATCTCAGAGAGTGCTTAAAGGTCTGTGAGTACAAGACAGAGACCCTTACTACTTATTTGTGAAGGACTGCTGAATGTGTCATACCTACCACACAGTGGGGCTAACTGAATACATAGTTTGGAAACAGACAGTCCATCATAGCCTCAGAGACTGTCCCCCCAACATGCCACTCAAAGCATAGCAAAAACATGCAGGCATGTAGAAAGAAATTTGCCTCTAACAAACCGCAAGGACTTTTTCCTTCTTTACAAATTCTGCTAAGGGAGGGGACAGAGATCTATTCTTTGTCCAGGTGATACAGTGCTCTGCCTCCAAGGCTTATATGATTTGCAATCTACTTCTAAAGCACCTCACACCGTGAACATCAGGCCAGTTCATCCAGTCTCATCTAAAGCCCACACAAACCAATACAACTCTTTCTATTGATGCCAATACACTTCGCATCACAAACCCAATCAAGAAGTCTCCTGAAGAACAAGAGTATAAAGGGCTAAACCCTGAAAGTACCCTCCTCCTACAGAGGTCCTGCTGAAATCACAGAGATTTCATTTCACTAGAAACTGACCTCTCCAGTTTTGAACAGGCTAATAAATCTAAGACCACCTAGATACCCAGACTTGACCTCTGACACTGGGAGATGAGGTGACCACTGCATATAGATAAGCACATCTGCATGTTAAAGAAAAACACATTTAAAAGCAAGTCACATTCTTAGAAGACACAAGGATGTACCACAGCATCCAGGTAAAAGCAAGTCAGCAGAGTCATGTGTGAGGCACTCCTCAAAAAATCACCTCAACCAACACAGCACATCTTAGCATTAAGCAATCCTCTGCTACCCAGGACAAGGGACTACTAAGTCAAGGGAAGAAACTTGCTGTAAAGGCCTGGATACACGCTGTGTCTTTCACTTGTAATACAAACATAGTATGGAGGAACTATGTAGGTCCAAGAATAAGAAATACTGTCTGTGTACACAGTGTGTGTCAAAACATAATCTAAAAGTTATTCTTAAAACCAGAAAAATCAGGCATAAAACATACAGATGGTATTTATACTTTTATAACCACTTAGAAACACCTCTCCCTCCCTCGCAGGAAAAAATGACAACCAATTATTTTCAGCTAGATGTTTTTATTAAGTTTGTTTTCTGATGTGTTTGCTTAAGCCAAAGCTCAAACACAGAAAAGATGTCTTGCAGGCAAGTCCCAAGGAGAGTCAGCCTTCTTTTACACAGCAGGTGCCATTCAAAACAACTAACAAGCACCATAAAAAGACGGTGTGGATAGTTCTGAGTCCACCATCAGCACCCCCATGGCTCCTCTGAAACTTCCGGCGATGACATAATCACCAGCTCTGTGCAACGGTTCCCAAGAAACTGGCTTTGCAATGCACTTGTTCCATTCCAGCAGCATGCTTGTGAGGTGCAGAACCAAGAAGTAACTGGATTTCATAAGTGATTGCCACTGGAAAAAAGGAATTGGTGCCTCTTGACTCACTACTGAAGGCCAAACTATATGTCCAAACTACATCAAGTGGTCTAATAAAAGATGCTATGCCTCTCTATACAGCTCTCCTTATGTTACCTTGTCTTGACACAAAGGGCTCTGGTATCGGAACAGACTGCTCCAGTATATAAAGTTATTACTTCTTAAGTGGAAGCGTAATTGACTCTGCATGCTCTCAGTCCAATGCAAACAGAAGACAACATTGATAAAATTCAAGCAAGAAGTGCTTAGTGCTTTTACAAAAGCAGAATAAGAACATGTACACACAGTTACCGTGGTTCAGCTGACACAAGGTGACTTGATCACACATCTCAGTTTTTAACATAAAGCTGTTTGCAATGACAGCAGCCCCAAATGCTGTTCTTTGACCTTCCTTAGTGCCTGCAGTCCACCAAAATATTCAAATGCTGGTATAGAAGTGTTTTCTTTACACACACTGTTGTGCAGGAACTTGGTACCATGACATTTCCAGAGAGGCCAAATGAATAAGAATGAATGCTGAAGCTGTAGGCCTGTACAGGTCTTTGTAGCTTCTAGAAAGAGTGAGTTACCTCTTCTTACGCTATATGCAACTGTTGTAGTCTGCCTTCAGTACAGGTGCCTTGCCTGACTCCACACTTAATCCCTTTCTCTACACTGCCTCTAAATTCAAGCATTCCTCCTCTGCTTCCTCTTTCCCCCACAATGTACTAACTTAGGGACAAGTGTAGTTTTAAACTGTTGAAGGAAATAAGCCCATCTATTGCCTAACATGCTCCATCTTTCTGTCTCTCCAACAGCATGTGAACAATCAGAAGAAAATACCACTAAAGCAAGGACAGTTAGGAATCACTCTTCTCTCTGAAAATGCACACAGCCTTATTCTCGATTACCTTACATCTTGCAGTTATTAGCAATGCAAAACTGATGTGAAAACAATATTCAGATTTGGTAGCATTTTACACCTACTTTACACTGTTATAGAAGAAATATGCTGCCATGTGCCCATGACTATGAGGAAAACCTTGAAGGCAGAGTAGTTTTACAGAAAGCTAGTCACCTTAAACAATAAAGGCAATACAACTGCATAACCTTGCTTTTAAAACTCTTGTGTGTCCTTCGTTATACTGACATGAGCAGCTAAAACTAGTCACAGGAGCACTTACTCATGTGCATAAGTGCTAGCAAAATCAGGCTCTGAGTTAAGAGACGATTTCAGCACTTCATTTTGCTCTGTGTGAAACCTCTAGAGGATATGTCACAGGGGACTGATAAGCAATTGCAAAACTTCTGGTAGCAGCACATTCAGACTACTTCATGGAAGCAAGAGTGACTTTATCTTGTGCTCTGTATGAGCAAAACCCCATGTTTTTAAGCTACCAGGTTAAGTTTTGCTGAAAACACTGGCATAGTCTACCCAGACGCAAGCAAAAATTGTGCACACAATTATCTGGATATATATTCTGGCACTGACAGAGCAGCAAAGCAGGTTAATGTGCAGGAGCATCATCACAGAACAGTAACACAAATCCAGAGGGCAGAACACAAAACAATAAAATGGTTTATTGCTACTGTTCACTTTTTCCCTGTTCTGGGAAGGACGTAGAATCTATTCCAAAGAACACATCATTCAGGCAATCTGTAGCAATGTTGTGTTTTAAGATGTTCCCTCACTCCACCTACAACCCCAGATCAGATGAGCATTTGCCTGAAAAAGGACTACACAGAACCACACACTCTCCAACCTTTCGTCCTTATATTCCCTTTTCTCTATCTTAAGAATGGACAAACCTAAGACAGGGCCAAGTCTCCTGGGACAGAGGAACAGAAACGTGTTATTAAAATAAAGTGTGTACATCAGTGGTGTCTGTCTTGGGATCTGAAAACCAAGTTTAATTAACCAGCTGAGTGGAAAGCACAGTTTACATAACGCAGACTATCTGTGGACTCTCACCCCAGTCATTCCACACAACCCCTTTTAACTGCTAGTCCACATAATAGCAATTTTTGCTGGTAAAGATACAGTAACTGGGATGAGGGCTCTAGATGCCAACTTTCACAGAGATCAAGAAAGAAAAAACAAATGTTTAAAATAGAGGAAATAGAGACTAATCCATATTACACAGGCTACTAAGTAGTTCTGTAAGGGAAATACAGCTTCGTTGCTTCTTGAACTCCTACAAATTAGTTTGTCATCAGATAGAAAGTTATTCAGTACTAAAAAGATAGACAGATTCTGCCATTGTCAATGAAAAAGTCCTGGAAAGAGACTGAACACTTCTGCCTTTCTCTACCTGTACTCTGGAAGTCTGCTTCCAGAAATACTGTATGCTTATGAGATAAGCCAGTGAAAAGTGTGATAAGCTTGGAAAAATTTTAGCTCTGGGATCAACTAAGGTCTGTCCATTGAATACCTGATCATCTGGTTGTCAGGCCATGGAACTGCAACTTGGTGGTTTGGGCTTTTGTCTTTGGTTTCCAGTGTTTCCATTTTTTAAGATTCAGCTCAAGAGATTGTCTCCCATTCTGTGTTTGCAGAGGTCTTAGCTCAGTGGGTCCTTAATATTTCTTGGGGAATTTAAATGAGACTACCATCCAAACAACCAACACTTAAGGTTAGCTTCATGTTGCATTTAAAATAATCTAACCTTCCACTGCTGCAGAAAGAGAGGGGTTTGTTTCATCGTGATCACTCTCCTCTATTGCATCGTATCCATGCAGCAACACGGCTGCTGCTTCAACTTGCAGAATTAATGGAAAACTAATTAATTTGGGAGGTGGATTAGTCATCACTGGAGGAGTGAAAAGGGGACCATCTTCAGTGGAAGCTCACTGCTAGATTAAATGCAAAGTTGAACTGTGCTCTGCTTACAGGGAGTTACAGAACTTCCCTGGGTGTTCAGCCCAGTAGTATCTGCATGTATATTTTAAAACTATGGCTAAGCAAGTATCAAATAGATTCAACTCCTTTGTTACAGCATACTAATTTTTGTCAAAACCTCACACTAATTTTATCAAAGAAAGAG